CGAGGCAGCAATTGATCGGGACGAAGTTCCAGCACGCAGCGAGGTTTCCGGCCGGAGAGTTCGGAAGGTGGTGGTACGCCGGAGGCGGCGGGATGAGGCCCTGGAGGCAGGTGCGAGCTCGCTTGAGGGAGGGCGGGGAGAAGGAGGCGGCGCGGCTGCGCTTGCGGGTGCGGGTGGGGCGGGCCTGGAGGTGGGCCCAGACGGTCCTGAGGTAAGGGGATTTCCGGACGCCGCTGTGGTCGGAGGCGGCTGCGGCTCCGCCGCCGTCTGTGCTGGGATTAGGTTTGAGGGTGTCGGGTCTGGGGGCAATTGGCCTGTACCGGGACATGATCTCGGCGGTTCGGTCCGGGCCATGCCGAGTCATTGTTTGCATCATCTTCTTCTGAATATATGTATATTTTTTTTTTTAATTTCCAAGAGGAAAATAATATTAATTTGTTTCGAATTTTGGTTTATTATTGGGGACGAACGAAGAATGTGAGGTATAGTGTGAGAGGTGGTGGAGTGTGGTTTATAAGGGGGAAAAGGACCAATGAGAAGGCGGCAACAAGACAGGAGAAAACGACACGTGGAAGCATAGGGTGGGTACTTGTTCGCAGATGGGGACAGCTGGGATCTCTCCACCAACATGCAACCTTACACTTCGCAACTGCAATATCACTTTTCTTTTTTCTTTTTTCTTTCCTCTTAAATGAAAAGCATGAAGATTACGAAAATAGGGTATGCACCTACCTGCCGGAGTTGGTAAATCCTTTGGTTATCCAATGCGGAAAATTTTACTTTTAATTTTTGTTTTTATTTTTTTTACTCGACAACATTATTTATTGGAGAGGGCTTTTGTCGAACCGAACTGATCCTAAGGCTTTCGAGCTCTAATTCGACTAATTTTTGAAAATGTTTGTGTTCGTTCGTTTAATGTTCGAACTATAAAATAATTAAGTCCGTGTTTGTTCAGTTCTTTGTTCGTGTCTGTTCGTCGTTGTGTCGCTTATGTGGTCGAGCTTGTTCACAAATTGTTCGAACCGATTAATTTCGATTAGCTTCAATTGTTATTAGTTAGAAAACAACTTGCTCACAATAGCATATATAGTATCCACATGCCTGCATTTTCATTCAAATAGCTTTAAAGATTTAAACTGATTAAAGCAATACAATGTTGGTATGTAGAGACCTTCGACCGGCTACATTTGAGCTGATCAACTTTTCTCGCCGGTGAATAACCTTCAATACCTGTAAAAACTCGACGCCAGAGTGGTTTTTTGGCGAAAAGCCTCTAATACCTAAGTCGGAGATGTAAAGAAGACAACGAATAGTACAATATGTATGTGGAGAGTATAATGTAATAATGGGCATACCGCACTCCCTTTATATGGAGGTGCGAGGGCCGACTCTTTGGGGAGGCAGTCTAGGCCTATGCCTAGGGCCTCCCCATGTATTTGGGCCCCCATCTTTTTTCAATATTATATATTTGTGTTTGGGTTTTGCCTATTTGCATATATGAAATGATTTGGGCCATTATACAAATGAAGTGGCTAATTAATGAATGTAATGACAAAATATATACTTCGTGTGGGAATTGAGGCTCTAATTTTTTTTTCTTATGATGTTCGGTCAGAACAATTGTGTCATAATAAATATTATTTGCAGTGATGTAGTTTTTATTTTCTTTTTCTTGTTGTCTGTTTGACTGTAATTTATTAAAGATCTTTGTAACCCATAGGTAATATATCAATTCTAACGTCTAGAAAAACAAGAAAAATCATTTTTTTTAATTATTTATTTATTTATTTAATAGTCTTGCTTAATTATGTTTCTTTCTTCTATGATTCTACAAATAGCTCTAATAACCACGCAAGTTCAAATTTGAAAATTCGAAAATGACAAACTTGTCTAAGGCCTCCAAATTTCTGGAGACGGCCCTGGGAGGTGCTACCTTGTTCCTCAACAATGCCAGAGTGAGTTGCCCAGACTACCAGTTCGTAGACCCTTGTTAATATTCCTTCTTAGCCATTAATCTGTCTTATTACACTGTCTAATCATACGACTGTTACGAACAACCTCGAGGTAAAATGTTGCATGGATTGAGCTCAAATGTGATCCTTCTTGTCGATCGACCTTTACTCTTCTTCACCTAAATGGCCCCTTTGCCAAAATTTTCCAGTTTTCCACCTTCGGGAAACTCTCTCTTGAATATATGTTCTTTCTTCATTCTCCTGTTTTGGCCCATTTTGTTGAGAGAGTGAGCACCAGACCACTTCCGCACCATTTTAGCAGGTTCATCGACTGAAATTGGGCCATGACTATAAGGGTCAACTAGAGCCCAACTCACCACTGTCCGAGAATGGCCAATTTGGGCCTCTGTGTGCTGTTGCTTTGTTTGCGTTTTCATCTACCTATCCCTGTAAGTCAAGAATATTCCAAATGAAAAAACTTTCATAAGCCTATTTTCCATTAAAATCATCCCTCATCTGTAAAAGCAGCTCTCAATCTCATTCCTGATCTATTTATTATCAAGATTCAATTTTTTTATTTATTTTTTTCTTTTCTGTGCAAAATGGAAACTGAAATTCCACTCCCATTCAGCGATTTCCCGGAGGACGTGCAGCTTTGCGTGCTGTCCTTCCTCCGCCCCTCCGACCTGGTGAAGTTCGCCATCACCTCCAAGCGTTTCGTCCCCTTCTGGCACGACCGGCGCCTCTGGTACACCATGTGCCACCGCCGCTGGGGCTCCCAAACCCTAATCAACAAGTGGGGCGGCGGAGACATCTCCTACAAGCGCCTCTACCGCATTCTTGACGAGTACGAGAACCTCATCGGGTTCTGGCGCAGGTACGGCGAGTCCGCGGCCTTCCCCGCCGCGTCTCCGCCTCCGACGCCGCCTCTGGTGTTCTTCGAGTGGGGCCCGTTTTACATCACGGGCTCTAGGGTTTCTCCCTCGAAAAATAGCGGCTACGACGTGATCAAGAAGCCCTTTCTATGGATGAGCGTGGCTCCCAACGGGGACTCCGTGAATTATCTCGATCCAGATGGGAGTTTTTCGCCGACTCAGGAGGGTATGATTGGGGAATTAGGGTTTGCGGAGAATGAGCTGATTCGGGTGAGTGTGAGTTTCATAGGTGAACGCCATGTCATGGTGGAGGAGAATTTAGGGTTTTCTGGTCTCGGGAGGGTTTCGAATTCGGGAAATCTGAGGGACGAGGAAATTGAGAATGTATATGGCTCGCCGCCGGACAAATTGATGTCAGAGATTTATCAGTACTTTGCAAACAGGACAAGTCCGTCTGGTAATGGTGTCTCAAGGACCAGGCGGCAGAGGAGGAGGGAGAAGGAGAAGCAGGGGAGATTGAGGAAATGGGAGCCGGAGCATTTTGTCAAGATTGTGAATTGCTCGCCTGAACGTGACCAGCCATTGCAGGGCCTTTGGAAGGTATTGGGATTTTGACATGATTTTGTTTCTTTGGAGTTGATTTTGATCCATATGTTCGAATTCAATTAGAATGGTCTGGTTTCATAATGAAGCTTGGGGCTTTTGATTTGAAAGAGTGGGCTGATTAAGTAGTTTTTTTTTCTCTCTATGTTTGGTTTAAAACTTTGTAGCATGAAATTTTTGGAATTTGTAGTATGTTGATTTATCAGCCTCACACGATTAGAGAGGTTTACTGAGATTGTCCAAATACTGAATTAGGAAATATGGGAGTAGGGGTTGGAGCAAGCAATTCGGGATTAAACGTGAGCCATGGGCTGCATCTGCCAATATATGTAACTGTGATGGTGTTACATGTGCGTGTGTATTGTCATATTTTGAATTTTTAACGGTAACTTCTTCCTTATAAATGTGAATGCTCTTCGTTCTTCTATAGTTCTTTTCTGAATTAAAGTGGTGAACTATAAGGCAATGTGTTTTGCTCAATCAGTGTGATGTACAGGTTTTGTGTACAGTGGAGTTCTGAGACATACTTTCTGGAAGTGCTTTATGCAATTTAATTTTCAATGAACTCACATCAACTTTGTTTAGTATGCTTTGTGCTTCCTGCAAATTGCAATGAGGTTCGTTGCTAGTGGAAAAACAGTAACTAAGCTAGCAGAGCACAAGAGAAGCTTTTTGATGCTCGATTTGATTGCTAATATTATGCTCCCTTTTTCCTTTGAACGCGACCCCTTGTTTGCTGCTATCATCTTACTTGAAGCATGAACTTTGGACTTTGAATTTTCAAATCTTCCCTTACTGATTGAAATTTCCAAGTGTTTGTGTTTCTCTTCTCATTATATTTGGCCAAATCCTGTCTCCATTAGTTTCTGCATATAAAATATTACAAAAGAATTGCGTCCCCATATTTATTTCTTGTCCTGCATAAATATTCATATTTACTGGCTGCCAGTTGTAAAATAGTTGAGACTTTTCAAATCTTCTTTTCTAAAAATGTGTTTACTGCAGGGAATTTGTGACGACATGAGCTTGGATTTCTACCTTGTCTCATACGACGACCTCAGGGGCGTTGCCTGCCGAAAAGTCGGGGACACTAATGCCCCGGTTTTTTGGACATCAAATTTGACGTACACAGAGCCTCCTTTTTCTCGCACAGAAGATTATATATACAATTGCCGTACGCATCTGAGGCCCCATTTAGAAAACAAGCCAGAAGATGAGCATGATGAATCATCTTCAGATAATTTGGAAGTTTCTCGCATGCTTTGCATCAACTCGAGCTATGACTTGGTAATCCCAGGCCTGGTGGGGTCCGCCGTGAATTCGCGGCACGCCGAGGGAAGGATATGGCAGTATGAGAACGGGACTTTTGGGTTTGGGTTTTTAGGTGATAGTTATATTATTGACCTGAGACGTATTGCTAGGAACGGGCACCTTCTTGATGCAATAGAACCTGATGAGGGTTGATTTTATCTTTATTATAACTTATAAGCATCTCTTCCTTTTCGTTATTATTTTTTTTTTTATGGGGGCATTTCTGGGGATTGCCATTTGTTGTGCGTAGTCGTCTGTGAAAAATATGTTGTGGTTTTTCACGTTGTGATACTGTAAAACAAGAAATAGCTGAAAAGGCGACGGCATTTTTTATTTTATTTTCCTCTCTAGGCAGTTCAAATTTCAATAATTGGAGTGCCCAAAATTTATGTTGAGGAGCAATAATCGGAGTGCCCAAAATTTAACAGAGTCGATCGATTATGAGATGAGAATCGATGTTAAAAGCCAATATATGCACCAGGTCCTTGAAACTCTCTACTCCATGAATATGCAAATCAGTGGTTACTGACCAAAAGAACATGAAGAAAGGAAAAACTTGGAAGAACAAAGGAAGATGTCGAAAAAAGAGGAACCTTGAGAGTGCCCTTGCAATGGTGACATCTGAAATAAGCTTTGTGGTAGACTCTGTTATCAGCTGTTAACTTGTCCACAAGATATATTGTCTTGTCTGTCTTCTCACAAGCCATGCATTTCTGGGTTGTACCTGCAAATGCCATTTCCTGTGAAAATCAATGTTTTTTGTTCTCCTGTTACTCGGTTAGTGCGTGTGTGTGTGTTTTCTGGGGGAATGAATGAGGATGGCAAGATGAAATAATGTCTATAACCCTCTGCAAGTTTTTAAATCTTTTAAGCTTTGGCAAATTTGTTATAATATTTGAGCAATAGGCAATTGCAATCTTTTGGTCCCCATATGTTAGTTACCTCCCAACAACCTTTTGCTAGATTCAATCCATTTCCTTCGTTTTATGCCTAATAAAGTGATTTTCTTCTCCTTGGAAATTAAAA